TTCTTTTTTTTTTTTTTTTTTTGGTTTGACAACCAGTTTGGTTCCAGCTTCCACTGTGCCTGTCCACATCAGAATCCTCACCTACCACCCCATACTCAACGTATCCCCACCGCTCACCTGCCAACAGGACGGGCCGCCAAGGGTCGACGTCGTCGCTGTCGCAGGCGGCGCGGCGCGTGCTGGAGAAGGAGGCCTCTGAGCTTGACGAAATTGATGCGCAGATCGCAGCCATGCAGCAGGAACTCGGCTCCCATGCACGCTAGGAGGAGGGGGTGGGGGCCCGAAAGACATACGTGCTCATGTGAGCGCGCTGTGCTTGTTTGCAGGCAACAGTTGTGCGCACGCACATGGATGTACACCACGTGTGCGGCCGGGCGTGGCACTGCTGCGTGCAGTGCGTGTTGTGGGGCACATTCTGTGCACGCTGCTTGTATGTATGGATATGTATGCTTCCTTTTCTAAAGTATGCCGAGTTGTTGTTTAAGTTGTTTTAGTTGTTTAAGTTGTTGTTGTGGTGTTTTTTTTTCTAGGTGGGGGTATCAGTCAGTGAGTTTAGTATGTGCCATGTTTCTATCGTAGCTGAAGCGACCGTTGCGTCCGAGAGAGCCAGGGGAGGAGGGTGTTTAAGTGTCTGGCATGTGGTGTTGGGCGTTCGTGTCCCATGAGACAGCGCCAGCAGCTGCGTCGTTATCACAGGCAGTATTTGGTCTCCATAGTGGCGCTGTGCGTGTGTGTCTCTATTTACTGCTCTCGCGCGTGGGGCGTCCTTTTTGTGTATTGTCAGCGAACATGTTTCCTTCCGTTCTTCGGTCCTGTCCCTGTTACGATTAATTCATTCCTCTCGCCTTTTGCTCCGCCTTTTAGCCCTTTGCTCGGCGCTATCGTTAACTGCCCACATGACTTTATTTTTTCTGGTCTGGTCTGGTCGTCGCCTAACTATGGCATTGGAACACACCTCGCATCCAACAACAGCGCAGCAGGCACGAATGGAGAAACGTTGTACCAAATACACACGCACACACACACACACACACACACAACACACAAACACACACACAAACACACACACACACACACACACACACACACACACACACACACACACACGACCACAACCCTCCCAACCAAGGTTAGCGTGTTTGGTGGTTTTTGTTTGTGTTTGTTTGGTGCGCGTTCGCGACCCAGCCATGTCGAATATTGACAGATAATTTTCACCGATATTCTGCACTACCTGCGGCCTGCGTTTTCGGATATGAGAGCGTGAGAAGCTGCCAACCCATCCCATCCTGCCCTACCATCCTTAGATCCTTGCACCCCCTCACACCAGCAAGAGCCAGCGATCGCGCTCGCGCCTCCCAGTGCGTGTGCGTGTGACGACCGCTCGCGACACCCACACACACACACACCTACATCCACACACACACACACACACACACCTACATCCACACACACACACACACTCTCTCTCTCTCTCTTGCGTGACGACAAAGGCAGAGGTGGCGTGCTGTGGTTGTTGTCACCGATCAACGCAACACCTTCCGGTGTTGTGTGAACCATGGCAAGCATTCCACAGCCACCGCGCTCTGCCGTCTTGGACGTGTATGCCAACAATGACCTCGACTTCAAGGCGAAGAAGTTCATTGTGAACCCGCGCACGTCGTCGTCCATGGACCAGGTCATTGACGCGCTCACCGAGAGCATGGCCATCGTGGGCGGCGTGCGGCGCCTGTACAACGTCAGCAGCGGCGATCGTGTGCGGGAGGTGGACGAGCTGTACGACATCAAGTCCATCGTGGTAACGGGAAAGGAGCGGCTCAACAGGCGCCTCTTGCGCGCCATCTTTCGCAAGCAAGCGGCCATGGCAGCCAACGGCACTACCGGCACTGACGTTCCCGTTCGTGAATATCTTCGCCGAACCAGGCGCAAGGACAGCAAGGTGTGCCGTTGTTTGTTTGGTTTGTCTGCGTTTGCATGCATGGTCGTGTCTTGCACCTGTGAGTCGTCTTGTACACGTGTGTGTGTGTGTGTGTGTGTGTGTGTGTGTGTGTGTGTGTCGCGCCTGTGAGCCTTGTACACTGCTTGTACACTGCTTGCACATTGCTTGTACATTGCTTTGTATGTTGCTGCTGTGGTACCACCATTCACCGCAACATCTCCGCAATTCCTCCCCACCTGTTGGTGTGCGTGCCGACGTCACCAGTCATTTCCCGGTGCGCGGCTGCCACAGAAACGGACAAAGTACGCCGGACGTCCTGGCCCGCGCGTTCACGATTCACAAGCGCTCGATCGCAAGGGGTATCTGCGACAACGCTTCGAAGGAAACCCATACACCGGTAACACTCGTACACCGTACAGGCGTGTAAATGCCAGTGCAGCCCTCATGCACTGGTTAACTGTGGTTGAGTGTAATCCCCAGTTTTCTTTGGTTCACATGCCCCCCCCCCCCTTGCGTGAGCTCTACATCCCTCACTCTCTTTCCACTTGTCACCTCCTCTTCCCTCCATCTTCTTCCTTCTTTCCTCTTCTCTTTCCCCTTCCTCCATTACCTTGCACCCCCTCCCCCAATATTCAACACTCATTCCAACCCACACCCACCCTGCAACTCCAACACCCTCCCTCTCTCTTCCAAACACGACACCACCACTGCTGTGCAGTGCTACCGCCAGTGTCTGCGCCGTCTGTCGGCCGCCAGCTGTCGTCGCTTACGGAGACGCGCGAGAAGCCCGTGGACGGGGAGGACACGCGCAGGAACAGAAGCTTTCCTGAGGACTCGACCGCACACAAGCGGCAGCAGCAGCTGAAGGAACAGCAACAGCAACAACACGAGGAGATGCAGGGAAAGGGGAAACCGCACGAACAACAGCAACAGCAACGCCAATCACAGCAACAACAACAGGTTGAACCACCACCACCACCACAACAACAACAACAACAACAGAACAATGGCCCAGCATCATCCCCTCCACAGCACCTCAACGACCACGCAAACGAAGACCAATACGTACACAGCAACAGTCACCACCATCCCCAACATCACCACCACCAGCAAGAGAAGTCGCCACAGATGCTGTCACCTGGCGCCATATCCAACCGTGTCGACTATCTGCTTGCTCAGGTCTCGCAGGTTGAACGCAGGGCCGCACTCGAACGCCGCAGGCAGCAGGCCTCCATCAAGCACAAGATGACGCGGTGAGCATCGCGTTGTGTGTGTGTTTGTTCGGTTTGTTTGGTTTGTCTGTGTGTGTGTGTTGTGTGTTTTGTGTGTGTGTGTGTGTGTGTTTTGTGTGTGTGTTGTGTGCGTGTGTGTGTCAAGTGTTCAGATCTTGCATTGAGTCTGAGTCATCCCCCGCCCCCGACATCTCTCACCGTTGTCCACTTCCATCGTGTGTATGTGCGGTGTCCCCACCGCCTGCCAGGAAACTGCATGGTGGCGACGAATTGCTGCATGTGTACGAGACGCAGCGCGAGCAGCACGAGCGTGCACTCGACACGGAGAAGGCGAGACAGGAGGCAATACTCAAGGAAAAACTCAAGAACAAGCCCACGGGTATGTGTATGTGTGTGTGTTGGGTGTGTGCGCGCGTGTGTGTTTGCATCTCTGTGCGTGTCTGGATTTTGTTTTGCGTGTATATTGGCACTTGACTGCAGTGTGTGTGTGTGTGTGTTTGTGTACCTCTCTTTCTGCGCCCCCCGTTGGTTGGATGCTGCAGACATCACACTGCTGTCCTCTCATCTCATCTCATCTCATCATGCCTTCACCTCCTTACACCCGTTTGTCCACCATCTCCACCACACCCTCCACACCTCCTTTTCTTCCACGTCCACCTCTCCTCGTGCTCGCCCCTGGTGCTCCAGCACTCGTGCGTGAACGGATACCAGACAGCCTGAAGGAGGAGGGCGATGTGTCTGCACCGACACACGCGAGCAATGATGCAGCCGCACCCAATGGCACAGCCGCGACTACCGCTCAGGCTGCAAATGACACCACGAAGAGCAAGGGCGCGAAGACAGCGACCAAGGCATCGCAACAGCAGCAACCAGCAACGGCCACCACCAAGCACAACGGCGGCGGCGGTGGTAGTGGTGATGGTGATGGTGATGATGGTGGTGGTGTGAATGCCTCGACACAGCAGACGCAGCGGCAGTCAAAGCTTCCAACGATGGGTGCGCGGCGAGCCGTTGGTGTTGGTGCTGGTGGGAAGAAGACGAACAACAACAACAGCAACAACAACAACAACAGGTACCAACTGCAGCACCAGCGTAAGCAACGCATGCTCAAGGAAAAGAAGAAGCAACAGAAGGAACAGAGGGGGCGAAAAGAGGAGAGGGTACAGCAACACCGACAACAACATGAACAGCAGCAAGACCAACAACATGGACGTGAACAACAACAACAGCAGCAGCAGCAGCAGCAGCAACAGCAGGCTGTGGATGCATCTGGTGATGCTACGATTGGTGACGCCGCGCCAACTCGTGACAGCAGCGATGATGACACGCACGGCAATGCCGCAAAGGGGGAGGCAGGGGTGCCACACACACGACCGGAAGGCACGGACAAGCCGAATGACACACAAAAGGCGCGACAAGGGCAGTCACAGCAACAGCAGGCAGCAACACAAGGGCAGCAGCAAGGCGACGCCACAGCGTCCACTGGTGCTGTGACGAAGAGCCGACGGCCATCAACACCGGCGCCAGCGGAAGTTGCAGTCGCTCTCCCCCAACAACAGCAAACACCGGAGGAGAAGGAGCAGGGAGGGGGCAGGACAAAGAAGAGGGGGAGGAACAAGCCGCCCGCACTGCAAGAGGAGCAAGGGCATACAGCTGATGACGCTAATGGTCACCAGCCCGAGCTGGAGCGTGTTGTTGAAGAAGAACAAGAAGAGCAAGGAGAGGCGGAAGTGAGCAGTCCGGTTTCGCCCAAGGGAGCAAACGCGCCGTTGCGCAATGAGAAGGCGACTGCAAAGAAGGGCAAGGGCAAGCAGTCGGGGCAGGCACCAGCACCACAAGCAGCCGCAGCAGCGGCGGCGGCACCAAAGCCGGCGAAGAAGAAGAAGAAGAGCCCGCGCAAACACCAGGACCAACAGCAGGACCAGCGGCGGTCAAAGGAGCCGGGGGTGGATGGTGCGCAAGCTGCAGCACCATCGTCTCCATCGCCCGCATCGTCGCCACAGCGCCACAAGCACAAGCCGCGACGCAGGTCGAAGGAGGTGCAGCACTCACCGGACGGGCAGCGCAGGGGCAGGCCGAAGCCAACGGCGACAAAGACACCGAAGAAACAGACGCGCCGCGCACGCGTGTCCACGCCAGACCTGCACGTCTCCAAGTCTATGCTGCAGCGATTCCAGGTGAGGGCAACGACTGCATGCTGGTTCTGTGTGTGTGTATGTGTGTGTGTGTGTAAAATGAAGAAAGAGAGGCTTTCCATTACCCAGCACAGACTGCATGCCGTCTGTTGGCACTCGTTGCACACAAAGCACACACACACACACACGCCCACAATTACAACAATCCACACATACACGCACATACACGCACGCACATGCATGTGCAGTCTGAGGCAGCGTGCAAGATCCAGGCGGCGTACCGCGGGTACCGCACGCGCAAGACGATCAAGTGGAAGCCGCGATCCCTGCAGCGCAAAGCAGAGGAGAAGAAGGAGAAGGAGCGAAGGGCGCAGGAAGAGAAGGAAAAACGGGCAGCCAAGCGTGGCCGCCGCCGCAAACGCTCGTCTGTGCCAGCCGTCTTTGTTGCGTCGGACCACGGCCTTGTTGATCAGGCGTATGTCGATGAGCGCTTTGAGGTGTATGAAAAGCTGGGCGACGGCAACTTTGCAGACGTGTACCGCTGTTGCGAGCGCAAGACGGGGACGGCATATGCGCTCAAGATTGTGTACAAGAACCGGCTGGTGGGCAAGCGGGAGCGGCTCATGATTGAGAACGAGGTGAAGATCATGCGCGAGATTAACCACCCGCACATCATCAAGTTGTACGATGTGCTGGAGACGGAGGACCGCATATTCCTCGTGCTTGAGCTCGTGCACGGCGGCGACCTGTTTGATCGCATTGTCGAGCGTGGCCGCTTCACAGAAGCCGACGCGCAGCAGCTTGTGCGCCACCTGACACAGGCGGTTGCGTACCTGCACTCGCACCGCATTGTGCACCGCGACCTCAAACCGGAGAACATCCTCGTTGCGCAGGACGAGTTTGGGCGCGACGTCCTTAAGCTCGGCGACTTTGGCCTCTCCATGGTGCGTGGCGTGCTGCTTGTGGCTGTGTTTTGTGTGTGTGTGTGTATGTGTGTGTTGTGGTTGTGTTTGTGTGTGTGTGTGTGTGTCTGTGTGTGTGTGTGTGTGTCTGTGTGTCTGTGTGTCTGTGTGTGTGTCTGTGTGTGTGTGGGCTGCCGCTTGTTTGCTTAAGGTGTTGTGCCCTTCCAACCACGAGAGCACCTTGTATGATTCCTCCTTTCATTTGGCCTTGCCGGTTGTCTCACTGTACCCCTCCCCCCCTCTCTCTCTCTCTCTCCCCTTCCCGCTGTCCCGCTGTCTCGCTCTCTGCAGCGCGTGGAGGAAAAGATCTACACCATCTGCGGCACCCCCACTTACGTTGCACCAGAGATTATCAGCGAGGATGCTGTGGGGTGCGTTGCTGTTCTTGTCGTGCAGTGTTGTTCCCTTTGCTCTTGATGGGACATCGTGCCCACCATGTCTTTGCGTATGTGTGTCTTTGTGTGTGTGTGTCTTTGTGTGTGTGTGTGTGTGTGTGTGTGTGTGTGTGTGTGTGTGTGTGTGTGTGTGTGTGTGTGTGTGTGTGTTTCACCCTTTCTCTCGCGCACGTACGTTCTCCCTCCCTCCCTCTCTCACTCACACAAAGCACACCATCATTGTCTCACCGCCGCCATCACCAACAACACCTGTAACGTGTAGGTATGGGCTTGAGGTGGACACGTGGGCGATTGGCGTGATCATGTACATTATGCTGTGCGGGTTCCCGCCGTTTGCGTCGGCCACGAAGAACCAAAAAGAGTTGTTTGATCGCATCCGGCGCGGTGCCTTCAGCTTCCCCGACCCTTACTGGAGCGACGTGTCTGCAGAGGCCAAGGCGCTCATCCGAAACCTTTTGCGCGTGGACCCGCAGAGCAGGCTGACGCCCAAGCAGATATTGCGGCATCGGTGGCTGCAGCGGCGACCGAGCACGGCTGCCATCTGCGTGCACGACCGGCACGTGCCTGTTGTTGAGGAGCTGCTGAAGCACTTCCCGCAGAAGAAGCGGTGGTCGGACGCGGTGACGAAGATGCGCTCCACGGCGGCGTCCCAGGACCACAGCCGCGTTGCCTCCGCCAATGCATGAACGCGCTGTTGCTGCAGGAGAGTTGATGCGCTGCTGTTTGTTTTGTGTGTACAATCGCTTGTTCTCTCCTTCACTTCTGTTGTTGTTTTGCTCCCTTGTTGGCCTTTGCTTGACTTGCCTCCTCCCATGCCTGTGTTATGCTGCGTTCTGTACGTGTTACACACGACACTATTCAACACATGCCCCATGTTTGCCAGTGATATTGCGTTTATTGCGTTCTGTTACTTGCTTTGATGACGTCTTTGCCACACGTGCACGTGTGCACACACACACACACACACACACGTGTGCACATGCACGTGTGTTCATCTCATTCGCTCCACTCCTTGCTTCAGTCGCTGGACGACAGCCATCGTCGTGCATGACGGGGTTCGCACTAACCTCCAAACCGTTTCTTTGGCTGGAATATTCGCAATTACACCCTATATTTTTCAGCACTGTTTGTGTTTGCGCCAAAGCAAAGAAGCAACAAATCAGACAAGTGCGGGTGAAGGTGCACACGATACATCCATCCTCCTCCATCCTCCTCCATCGAACAGACTCTCGCTGTTTGTCGCTCGCTCGGCCTGGACAGGGAGCCGCGAGCATGTCGTCGTCGTTGAGCAGCGTGAATATGTCGCCAGACAAGCTGCGGCTGATGGCCTCCGGCCTGACGAACGCACGGAAGGATTACGACCAAAAGTGGGATGCCACTCTGACCAGCCTGGACACGCTCAAGCAAGCCATTGCCAAGTGTCGTGCGCAGGTCAAAGGTAGGGACAATGAAAACGTTGAGAAGACAGGAGGAGGGTGTAGATGTGCTTTTTTTTTGTTATTGAGGGTCATTGGGGGGAGGGGAAGGATGCATGTTGGCTGTTTGTGAGGGTGGCTGCAGCATACTTGCTTGTTCTGTGGACATACGTGCGTTTCACGCTCATGATGATGATGATGATGATGATGATGATGATGATGATGATGATGATGATGATGATGATGATGATGGTGGTGGTGGTGGTGGTGCTGCTGCTGCTGCTGCTGCTGCTACTACTGCTGCTGCTGTTTCTGTGCTTGCGTGGTGCGATTGAGGACTCACTTCCTCGTTTGATGGATGTGTGGCTGTGCCTTGTGCCTTGTCTGTAGAGAACCCATCGAAGACGAAGCAGCTCTTGAAGTCAACGAACAAGGCAGCCAAGCGTGCGGCCAAGACGTAGGTGAAACGTGTATGTTGGGGGAGGGTTGCTTGCGATTGAAATCGCTGGTGTTGTGTGTGGGACCTGGTCTCACTTGCACTTGTGACCCACGCCGCTTGCCTGTGCGAGACATACGCATACGCACACACACGCACGCACACACGCACACACGCACTCTCTCACACACACATGTACAAAGGGTATCACGAGAGCACAAGGTTGGATATCAGGCTCTATCCAAGTACTCGGATTTTGTTGATCAGGTAAGGTGTTGCTGCGTGGTGCAGCCGTGCTTGCTCAGCCACATGCACTCGCCCTTGTTCGCCCTTGTCCGCTGTTGCGTCGTATGGTGCCGTGATCTCCCATTGACGCAACTTTGTGCCTGTTGTTCGTCTTGGCAGTCGTTTGTATCTGGAACAACCGTCTCATCACTGGCAAATCCAGACGCCTTTGAGGTGCAGCACAAGCAAGGAAGCGTGCTTTTGTGGCGACTGCGTGTGTGTTTGTGTGTGTGTGGGGGGGGGGGGCTTGCTTTCTTGTGTGCAATTACCTGTTTGTATGTGTTTGTTCAGAATACCTGCTGCCATGGTGACTGAGAGGCTGTTCCTCTGCAATGCCATCGATCACAACGTGTCATCACCTCCACCTCGCGCGTATGATTGGCGTGTGCAGGACGTGACAGACTCCGTACAGCGGATCATTGCTGAGCACTTTGCGCTTGAAGGCCTCTTTGATGCAAGCCAGGCATTTTACGAGGTGTGTTTGCGAGGTTTGCGTTGGATTGGACAATGCTTTGTTCTATGTCTGCGGCATACCATGGTGCAGTGCCCTCATCTCTGTAACACGCTGTGCGTGTGTGTGTGTGTGTAGGAGACGGGTGTTGGCTCAACGGAATCCCTGGATCAGTTTCGCTCCTTCCATCACATCACCGACGCCCTTCACAAGCAGAACATTGCGCCGTTTGAAAGGTGTGTGAGCACAAAGACAAGGCAATGTCTGAGAGCGAGAGAGAGAGTGTGTGTGAGCGAGTGAGTGAGTGTTTGTGTGTGCCTGCTTCTCTGTTGTTGTTTTTAAATTGCTTAAGTTGTTGAAGTTGTTGTTAAAGTTGTTGTTTAAGTTGTTGTTAAAGTTGTTGTTGTTTAAGTTGTTGTTGTGCAACCGCTTTACGTGTCCGGTGTTCATGCGCCGTGATATTTTGTCAATTGCGTGTTGCAGGTGGTTGCATGAGAACATGGGCCGTTTGTCCGGAGCTGCCGCCAGCAAGATGATGCTGCATTACGTCAAACACCGCTTCGTCCACATGATTGCACACAATCAGGTGAGTGTGGCACATGGAGTGAACACGCCCCTGCAAGCGCCGGCCTACACACGCAGTCACCTCATCACACACACACACACACACACACACTCTCTCTCTCTCTCTCTCATACGCACACATTCTCTTTGTGTCTGCCTGCCTGTATCCGTCTGCATGCACACGCCGTCTTGTGTCGGTGTTCTGACTGCTGCCATGCAGACGACTGAGGCGCTTGCATTTGCACACCAACACATGGGCCCGCTCTACATCGAGCACAGCGAAGGTGCAGTCAACCTCCCATGTATGACTTTTGTGCGTGCATGTGTGTCTGCATCCTCGTGTTGGTGCATCAAGTGCAGTTCGCTGTTTACTCGAAATCG